AAACATACCTAGCAGAAAGTTGAATATTAAAAGATTTAATATCAGGCTATATGCTTTAATGTAATCATATTGGTTTAGTCTTTGTAGCTTAATAATTCAACAAATTGAAAGATTCAAATTACACCCATGTTATAACACTTCGATTAGTGGTCAACATCAAATAAATAAATGATATAACCCCATATGCTATAGAACATATTAAAACATATAACCTATACTGTGTACTATTTCCATGATATGAAATAAAACTAAACTTGTCGGTAAGCAACTATTAAAAATTTAAAAGAGATCGATCAAGATAAACTTATGTTATGTTAAAACTTCAAAGGTACCTGAGAGATAAGGTTGGAAGATTGAGTCCAATTAAAAGCAAAATAAGTGAGAATGCATCTCTCAAATTCTTCAAGGAGATGAACATAGAGAGAATCAGCCTCAGCTTCATTCACCAAATACTCATACACATTCTCATCATATCCTTTTGTTTTAATCAGATATGCATTTGCTAATTTGCATAGTTGTGGACATTCATTTGGATCCTCAAATCCTAGCTGTCTTGCTGCATTTTTACATAAATATGTTATCATTAATCAAATACATGTTCTTCAATTATTGTTATAAAAGAGACAAACAAAAGGTCATGATAGGTTTTTGTTACATTTATGGAGAAAAAGTAGATCATGCAAGTAGTCTATTTTAAAACCATTATCACCAAAGTTACTGGCTTTTGCATTTAAGCCCTTATAATTGTTGATAATTTCCTAGCACCAAACTTACAAACTTTTCGATTTCTAAGTTGAATCTTGCAAGTTGAATGTATCGAAGATGTAACTATACGTACCAACATAGTAGGAGAATCTCTCAAGATTTGATCGTCGACTTGAATCTTTCCTCTCAATCAAAGGAATCACCTTCTGATCTTTCACCATGGAACCACCTTGATTATGAGCTTTTTTCCGGCGTCGAAGGAGTGATTCTCCGGCGAAAGCAGCGGCAGTGGCGGCGGCAAGACCACCAAGGGAAGCAAAGAAGAGATAGGTTGGATTAACTGATTTACATCCACCATTAGAAACATCTCTTGTTCCTTCTATAGCCAAAGAAATCAATCAAGAAACCAAACAAGAGAGAGAAATTATAAGAATCAATATTATTTATTATTATTCATAGTGTTTGTGATTGTTTAGTGGTAAGAGAAGAGAGAGAGGACGAGCATTACCCGAAGATTTCATCATTTCTTGGATTTGAAAAGTCTAAAAATGTGTTTATTGGGAAGAAGATTGTGAGTGTGAGGGGAAGCACTAACTCAACACACCATTGATGATTTATTCTTTTTGATTTTTCTCTTTTCATCTATGTGTCTGACTTTTTCTTTGGAGATTTCTCTTAAATAATGCAAATTGTGGGGTTTCTAATGTTATTATATAGTAGTACGTAGGTATTATTATATGAAATTTATATTTTGCGTTGATGTAGTGCATTTTATCTTTTATAATATCAACAAGTTTTTAAAATCAGGATTAGTGGTTCTGTTAGCTAGGTAACTCACATTGAAAATGCGAAATGACATATTTACCTTTTGTTAAACGTTGTTCTGATTGGTTACTCACGAACTATAATTTATCACATTATTTTTTGTTCGTTAATGGTTTAACTTAGGACATCTCCAATGGTTTACACCAATTTTTACACCAAAATAGAATATTCTAAGTATATTCTCTTTTTCAAATTAATTATCAATTGTTAATAATACACAATAGTTTAAAAAATTTACGAATTGACCCCAACTATTTTATGTCTTTTTAAAAATTTCATAAAATATTAAGTTATACCGAAGTATTAACTTATTTAACAATATTTGGTGATGTTTATTTTAATTATTTGATGTTGTTTATCTTTAATTTCGGTACTTTATGTATTTTGAAGTCTATTGTCAATTTATGGTAGTAGA